TCAGAAAGATTGAGGTTGCCGGTCGAATGCGTATAATATTGTCGAAACAGAGAGATTCATTATTTCCGCGCTCTCATTATTCGCGATTTGTCGTCAGATTCCATCCGCTTCGGTCAGGTAATCTCGATCGAAGGCGCATAACGAACATTGGTGAAATCGCTCTTTTTCCCTGCTATATTCTCAACGCGATATAGCCGCACGGCCGCGCGCAACTCTATATAGAATCTGGGATTAAATCAATGTACCGTGGGGGCCGATATGAAGCCAGCCGAACGTATGTAATGCGCTTCTAAACGCCGGCAGAGAAGCGCAGATCCGATAGATTCGAAAATTCGCGTTTGGCCGATTGCTCGAGGCGTGATGTACGCTTTCTATCTCGGAACGACGCAACAATGTCGATCGCGATTGTTTAACGCGATAAATCGCGCCGGCCGCCGCGGTTTTGGGAACGACCGCAAGCGCACGACCGGGCGTTAAATATTTATCGCAGCGAGAGAGAGCGCGAGAAAGAGAGGGATGTAATCCGCAATGCGAGACGCCGATAAAAAATGATAGGCCGATTCGCAGGGGAGGCATCGCCGGTAATCACCGTAGAAAATCACATGAATTTGTAAGCGAACGGCGTGAGTCGCGCCGCAACTCGAGATTGAACCGCAACCGGCGGTTTCTACGCACCACTGTGATTTACATGCATATTAGGCGACATTGTGCCGCGTGCACGTCACGAATTTATAAGTGTAAACGTGCGAGAGCCCCAAGCGCTCGCGCGCTATGCGCGACGCGGCGAAATTACATTGCGCCGTGTGGGACGTGTTGGTCAATTCGATGAATATACGTTATAAAATTTTATTATGCTGTGTAACGCCGCGTGTAATGCGTTCCATTATCGATTAATGGCCCCGATAATAGCCGGAGGGTAATACACTTTGTTTACTTTTGCACGTCGCATTTATTCGAAATCCGATTTGCTAATAGCAATAAATTCTTAATTCCCGTGTACCAAATATTTCGCGCATTCGCGTACATATCCATTATATTTTTACATACTTATGTTTATTTTTTGTACGTTTATTATCATGTTTTTATCACAATAAAATTTTCTATAAAACTTTCTATATCAGGAAAGACAATTTTATTTTATCCATAGACTGAGGTAAAATGAAATATTTTTTCCCGGGTATGTTAAAATTTTTATTTACGAAGTAAAAGAGAATTACACGTCAGAAAAGTTAGGGTAACTCGAGGGAATATGCCACACTTAAGAAAAATATGATTTTTTTTCTTATTTCTCTTTCTTTTTGAGGTATCTTTGCATACTGGTCTTCTTTTTTCTTCTTTTATCTGTTATTTATATATGGTTTTTTTTAATGAAATATTTTGATTGGTTACTATTAAAAAGGAAGAAATACAAAAGTGTTGCAAAGTGGCATATTACCCACCCATGTGTAGTATGGGATAATATGCCACATATACAAACATGTATAGTAATTTAACTTTAGAAGTTATTTTATTTAAAAAACAGTACATTATCTGCGAGTAATTTTGTTGACTTTCTGATATTTTATTTTTGGATCTTAATTAAGATAATTGCATTTATTAGTGAAATAAAATTTACGATGACTTTAAAAATCTCTGATTTAATATATTGTTTTCAAAAGATAATTATTATGGAAGTTCGAGATATAGAACTCTAATATCGCAATCGGTACAACGTTCCGTATGACTGTATGCAGTTATTGCACGAAAGGGACAAATTTACTCTCACGAGAAGGTTAAGGAGGGCGAGCAATAATTATCGTGTCACGTCGAGCCCGATTTGAATCAGGGCTTTCGCAGAGCGGGAGGCTTAGTGGTTTGCCTTTGGTACATCATGTCTATATTTTATCGTGCACGCGAGAGAGAGCCGTGCAATGCCTTTGATGTTCAGCAAGACTCTTAGCGCGATGGATGACGGAAGGAAGAGAGTCGAGGGTGAGTGGCAAGAGTAAGCGCGAAAGAGAGGGAGAGAAAAAGATCGAGGGAGCGAGCGTAAGAGCAGGCATCATAGAAACGAGTGCTGCGAGTGGCACGCCGTGCCTTCTAATGTCTCTTTTTTTCTATCACTTAGAACTCGGGAAAATTTTCTTCGCCTTTGAGCGGGCCCCGCTTTCGCGCTCGTACTACGTTGCTCTTCTCTCTTCCGCATCTTCATCCTTCGTCCGTCTCGGTTTTCTTTCCGCCTGGATCACCGTCGAACTTTATTCCCTTTGATCTATCTAATTCGCGAAATTGTTATTCTGTCACGGACCAGCTTCCAGTCACTTGTCGCTGCCAAAACAAGCACGTTGAAATTTTTCACGATGGCCTAGATCGCGTCGCGTTTGCCATGTCATAAATAAACGGCATCTTTTAAGATTGCAAACATATAATTTAAAATCTCAATTTCTTGAATATAAATGGCGGTTAACAAACTAAATTAATTGACGAAAATAAATTTGTGCATCTATTCGTAGTTCTGTTACTTTCGTAGAGAGAGAGAGAAAATTATTTGCATTGTTGAATTATATTATTGTGATGTAATCCAACTTGATTACTCATTGTGATAATCAAATCAGTGTTAATAACTTCAATTTTAACATAACATTATAAATATTATATATATCTTTCATTATTTTCTTGATTTGTTATATTTTTATCAAACTTTAGATTTTCAGAAATCTAGAAAAAAAAATCACAATCGGTTTTCCTTGATAAACAACTGATCATTTGGGTCGCCGGTAATCAATGTGTCTTGCAAACTGTGATTGTTACCACGGATTGTTGAGAAAAGGATTGTAATCAGTGGATAGCGGATTAAATGGTGGAACGGAGAAGGAGAAAGCTGAACGAGCGAAGCAGCGCCTATTAATTCGTTTAATTGTGCTGACGAATCAAACGGCTAAAAACTCGAACCTCCGAGCACCCTCTTTTCCTTCGAGCTCCTTCTATCTGCTTCTTTCTCTACCTGACCGCCAGTTTCTCCTTCCTTGTTCTCTTCTGCAAATTATCGTAATTCCTCTGGCTCGGTTAACGGGAGAAGTTGGCGCGAGCATGTAGGAGCAGGAAAAGGCCAGTGGTGTGGAGCTCGTGAAATAGAGAGAGAGAGAGAGAGAGAGAGAGAGAGAGAGAGAGAGGATGAAAGGGCGAGAGAAGGGATTGAGAAAATCGAGGGTTAGCAGCCCTTTGCTCAAGTGGTAAGACCAGCTCCGGACGCTGCACTAGAGTCTAGAGCACTTCAACACTCCGAAGTCGAAGAGGCGTTCATTAAACGATAACTCACACTCGGAGAATTGTCTTGTTAAATTGTCGATCTAACGACAATCAGAGCACAACATTCATGGATTGCGCGAAGGAAGTGCCATCGTGACCAGCAAGTAAATTTATTGCGCAAATAGTCCAGTGGGAACAATAATGGCTAGTGCTTTCAGCTCACCAAAAAAAAGATATATGTATATGCAGATATGTATTCTATTATCAATGAGACGATATGATAACGCCATTATATTATATTCAACAAATACGTTTAATAATAATTATCAAATGCTGATCTACACTTTGTATCATTGCTATTACTGCTTATGTCATAGCGGATTTTAAGCAGAGATAAGAAATTTATTAAATTTGATGAAACGTTTAAATTAATAGTTTAATTTTACTAGGATTTTATGTATTTGTTAGTTCAATAGATAGATATACTTCTCTTTTTTTTTTAAATGTCATTTACACGAATTTGCTTTCGCAATTTGTCATGTAAACTCGAAATAGATCCGAATTTTATGAAGCACACGTACAGTATCGATATTTTCAAACCGTTTGAATGACGGTATTATGGGTATCAGTCATTATTTGCCGCAGCGCGAACTTACTCAACGTGTACAAACGGAAAATAAAAAAAAACCGTTTCGGAAAATGTTTGAACTATGTCCCCTCAATATGTAACAATGGTAAATCGTAAATATCAGCTCGCACCACACCATGGTGAAATCCGATTACGCGCATTAAAAAATAATCGATCGAATTTTGTCTCTCGCGCAAAGCGAATACAGTTTCGGAATGCGTGTTTGATTTCTGTGCTTCCGCGCTTCCGTTTGAGCTGCAATTATACGCATACGCGGAATATTACGCGACGCACATGCACGGGCACTTCCTATCGACCGCTCTGGATGACGTTTCCAATGCAATTGCAGCCGCAACAGCTGTCCATCAAGATTCGCTTGCGCTCTTAATTAGTATTTATAATCGTGCATCGATATTGACGTGTCGAAACGGCGATCATCTGTCACATAATGTGGCGTGCTGAATTACACGGTCACACAATTTCATTATTTTCAATTGGATTAGCCAATGTCAAAATAATATCATTATTTTGATATTGGAACAATCAATGACGCTTTATAATTTATAGGTAGAAATATTTCCCACTATCTATATATTTAAGTTATAAAATAGTTTGTTATAAATCTGACATTATTCATATTTTTTAACAATTAATAATTAAAACTTTCTTAATTTAAAGTCAAAATAAAACATTACCAAAATAAAAGTAAGAAATATCTTCAAAATATTTACGGCATAATAATGAGCAACAATTTGAGACAAATGACGATGATGAGTTCTAAAAATAACTTAATAAAGAATGCAATGTGTCAGGTGTGTGCAATCATTAACTCAATCAAAATCCACTCCACGACTGCACGCGATCGAAATTAAAGAATAATAATTCGCAGATATATTTAGAATGCAGACATCACACCTGATATCTTCGCGAAGCAGATTAGATATACATAGTTATGCTTCGTTCTCTGTAATACGCACTTCATATGCCGATCCGAGCAGTCCTATTACCATGTACCGCATACTGTGCCATCCAACGCAATGACATACGTGCAACGTGTATAAGTTCCTCTAAGAATTGCGTCAGAACTCTCGGCTGCGGCACGCGCTCTTAGGAGATCTGAAACTAATATAGACGGCATCACAGGATTCTACAGACACCACCTAATAGAGTTCGTGATCTACATAAAGGATGGCTCGGGTATCGAGGATTAACTTTTACTCATTAATATGTACCGTGTGAAAGCGTCGCCGGAATGACACGCGAATGGTGCGCGCTACGTCAACGTTGATCCCGGTGAAATTTGTCCGCGGGAGAAGACGCCCGCTCGTCCGCTAATTTAGCCGAGAGGCGTTCCGGCGTTTGCGAGCGAGTACCGTTAATAATGTCACGTCGTTAACTGTCGCGCTGCGTCTCGGAAATAGAACTTCGCGACTGCGAAATACCACCGTGTATTGCGGGGGCGCGCGGACAACGTTAAATTAAACGACTGTGAAAGCATTACGTCAGCTGGAGACGTTAATTTGTTTAACGCTATTTTTTTTCGAGTAAACCTCATCTAATTGCGGACGTTTCTCTCGCGTCTACTTCATTTAACTTACAGATGTTGAATTAAGAAGAATGGCGACTTTCTATATCAGAATTGAGGCATTCGCAATTGCGAAGGCACTTAACATTGAAAGTTAAAAAGTTAAAAATACTTTACTGAATGTAATGTTTTTTCCGTTGGATTAAATATTGCAAGGACTTTTCAAGATGGCCGAACGACCGAATGCAAAAATAATAACGCACTGCGTATAACAAGGTGAAAGAAAGCATTTATTTCAATCGTGCACAATGCTCACTCTCATCGAGATTCTTTTTAAGGAGTTTAAAAAAACTCATTTCTCATCTTATTTGTAATATTTATTTTATAATATTTTCACTTTTATGCCTCAAAAATTACAGTTTTGTTAAACTATTGTCGAATTTATCTAGGAAATAACCAAATTCGAGAATAATCGAAGTTGACCACGAGAGAGTGTTATTTGTATTTATGATACAATTAATTTTGGGAGAACTCACAAAAGAATTACCACACTATTTAAACTAAATTGAGAAATAATATTCTATTTTTTATCTATTTCAAATTCTCACATTTAATGCTTAGTGCAAAAAATAACAAGCTACTTTGTCTATAATTGTTTGTAATTATAGTTTATTGATGTAATAGAGTGAGATAGTTGTTGTTCTTTATAATTTCCGAAATCTTAAATATTCTAAAAAAACTTTTTATCGCGTGATTTTGATAATGCTTTGGGAAGGAGACCAGAGTCCCCCGTTTGTCTTCCGTTCAGCACAAACGTTGAAATCACAATGAAGAGAGATATAAGTAATGAAAATGCTTGAAACAAAAAGAAAATTGTTCCGTAACGCCGTAAAGATCTACAGGAAGAAAAGAGGAGGACGGTGAGGAAGCGGAGTAAAAAAACAAAGGGAGGAGAACGGACTTCCTTTTATACACCAGGGGTATAGCCACTGACTCAGCTGTGCTTTCACGTCCGTCGCCGTAATGAAACGAGACCCCTAATGTCATTTGGTCCGGCTTTCTCTCGACATCCGGGCGGTTCTCCAAGACGGTCGCAGCCGCGGGCCGCGGGTGGAGTGAAGGGGGGATAGAGTGAGAAGAGGGCGGATACGCGCGCGCGGAGGAACGTAGAGGTAGAGAAAGAGAGCCGCCACTTTTCGAATTAACCGGCCGGCTCACCTTAGCTAAAACACATTGTCCGTGAGAGCGCGGGACGTGGGACGTCGAGGAGGTCGACGGCTGCGGGCCGTCCGGATCCTCGGCGGGTTAAGAGCGTCGAACGAGCGAGGGAAACAACTCGAGTGAGTATAGGCGAGGTTTGCCGGCGGTAGTCGCGACCGCAAAGCCTCGGGTCGGAGCGTGACAAACCTAACCCAGGTGGAGAGGACATACGTATGGAGGTCTACTTCGACCTCGCCAGTCTCTACCTTTCGTCGACTTACTGACCGCGCGTCATCGACTCTTTCGCTCGATTCATTATCCCT